TACCACACTAAATCAGCTGTACTCCTCATAAACGGTAACCCCACAGAAATATTTTTGATCAGTAATAACAGTTTATTTGCTCAACACTTATTCTACACAATAAACTGACTACAATGCAGAAAAAATAAAACCAAAACATTAAAAAACGGCCGAGATATAAAGGATTAAACCTGACCGAAAGCACACTCAGCTGAGGACACACAGGATTGGTCAAAAAACACGAATACTAATGAGTCATTTGCATATGGTCTATTCTCTATTAAAACACGATTTTAAAGGGCTTCATAAGCTTAAATATGATAATCAAAGTATGGGAAAACAACCTAGACATCAGATAATCAAATTCTGAATAAAAATATACAAACAAGAACAAAGAAAAACACAAACAAAAAAATGGTCATCACCATTGCCGAAATGCTGCGTCTCAACACCTTGTCAATAGCCCAGACTCTCTTTTTCTTCAGGGTAATGCTCCCAACGGTTATCCCTGGTAAGGATGATGTCTGCTTGGTTCTTGCATTGCCTTAGAGGAGTCGTTTGGTAGAAGCATGATATATCTACAAAGATATATCCGCCAGACTGAACCTCGACCTGGCCTCTTAAATTTTTCAAGTCTAGGAATTAGTTGGAGGTCAGTAATATCTCTTTGAATACTTCCAGTCACATTTGTGGAATTATTTATTCATTTTAGATTTATTTAATTCCCTGGATGTTGACTGGAATTATTCTGGAGAAAATCAGCAGGGAGTGAGAAGGCAATGACCAGTTCATGGCCAACTCTTACTCCTGAATCTACCTGTTGGATTCAGCTGATTTGGGCAAGGGCTCTCCTGTTCCCTGGAGATATCTGGGGTTCTGGGGAGCCCAGTCTCTGGATTAGCCAGAGTAGGCCCCATAGAGAAACATCTTCAGACTCTTCTCGGGTGACCTGGGCAACCTTGCGGTGTTAACAAAAGGTCACTTGGGGGAGTGGTAAGTATTCAGCCTCCCTGGGTCCACTTGGACAGCACGCAGGGAAGGTGGCCGGGGGCGAACAGGCCTTAAATGAAGCCCAGTCTTCTACTGGTGATTAGCACCTCCACACATCAGCACATTGTGCATCAACACCACCTACACCAGTCATTCAAGAACTCTTCAAAAATCATCAATTCAAACATGAGAACTACTGAAGATTTGTTACCTCAGATTTTACTAGGATTAAGGTTAAGGAATAAGAATAGAACTTTCATAGGGACTCTTTAAAACACCAAATCTCAAATTATAACTTACAACTTTTCAGAATGACCAGATTTTCCCTCTTTAAGATCCATTATTTACATAGAAAGATTTAATATGAATTTATAACTCAAATTTGTTTATAAACTCCATGGGAAGATTTAAAATGTTTATTCTTCTTAAACTTGTAACCCAGAACTTTTCAGAAAAAAACCCTACATGCCTTCTCCAGAACATCTGTAGTGTATATGGATGTTTCAAAAATATGATCTTCTGTAACTCCTAGAACATCTAACCCCAGAACCTCTCAGTGAAAGTAACCACACTAAACTTTTACAATCTCAATTTCATGGGAATAGTTTGACCTTCACCTATAAATATTTCAACTTTACCTGTTCCAGTTTCCTCTTCAAAAATCTCAAATTTAAATGAAAACATCTCAAGTATCAAGAATTCCTTTTGGCAGTGAGGATCCTTTCAAATACAAAAGCCCTCACTTTAAGGCTTTCACTTAAGCAATGAAAATCAGTTTGCTTTTATTGTGAACTTTTTTTTTCTTTTCTCCCCACATAGTGTGATTGTAGAAGTTCCCAACTACACAATGGCATAGACTGTACACCTATTTCCAAAATGTATTTGTCAGACAGTACTCCGTCATTTGCAGTGGTCTCATAATAAAGTTACCCCTTTGGGAGATATTTCTGATGACTGGTTTAAAATCTGTCCAGAACCTTAAAACTCAATATAATTTGCCCAGCAGCTGCTTTGAGGTTTATTCACAATAAATCAGCTCTTTGGGCAGCTCAGTGCTCCGGGCATATGGGTTTACCTTGGTAATCTCTCAATGACCCATTCACTCTTTGCATAAATGAATTCTTCCTTAGTGGAATCTCCCTTATCTGCTTCATTTTCTTGAACATTCATATAAACTTCTATTACAACTGTTTGGACTAAGGATCTTTGAGGATGTGCATGCTTTATTTTCGCATCAGGTATGAGAAGTTTAAATCGGCTCAGTTTTCAGAGATTATTTTCGGTGTTTAATTTTCACTGCTGAAAGTAAAAACAATCAAGAAAAATCCATCCATGCTCAACTACACAAGCCCCAAACCAAGTGAGCCAGTTTGCCAACCGACCAAAGTAAAGGGGAAAAATAACCTCAAACCAGGCTCAGTTGGACATGACCATTTCTCCTCTGGCCAACTTCCTGTACAGAGCTGCAGTCTGGGCACCGGAGGCTGGAGAATGGTGGACCTCCATTGTGGAGAAGCTGCAGATGGGAGAGGTCAGCGGCTGGTGTACAGACTGACCCTTCAGGATCAATATGTAGACTCGTGGGTCACTAGGGTCTTGAATTAATCTCATGCTGTAATACACCAGGAGCTCCCTCAAATACTGGGCAGCTAAGGCATTGAGGGCTTTGTAGGTAAACAATAACATTGTAAATTAAATATTTAATAGTGAGTCAGTGCACCGATGAAAGAACTGGAGTAATGTGATTTCTTAGTTCTAGAAAGTACTCTAGCAGCTGCATTTTGAACCAGCTGCAGTTTGTTAGTGAGGCCGGCAGGGCATCCGCCTAGTAACTCATTACAGTAGTCTAACCGAGAGGTAATGAAAGCATGAATAAGCTTTTCTGCATCAGTTATTGATAGCTCGTCAAAGTTTGGCAACATTAAGATGAAGAAATTGAGTTTTACATATGCTTATTCTGGCCTTACACAGGTTGCTGTCAGAAATAGCCCCCAAATTACTGACTGAAGATGAGGACTAGTTTAGGGCACACTTGTCAGCTCTACAAAGCTGACCAATCACAGCTTGCTCTATTCATTGAGGTGTGCATCAGTGTCGGACTGCCACAGCAAGGGCTCTAACCATGCACAGGTTGTGCTGAAGCATACTCGTGTGCTTAATGCAGAAGTATAAATGCGCCTTTAGGAGTGCTGTTTCTGTGCTATGAGATTCTCTACATCCAGATTAAAATTTTTCGTAAACTTTAGCTGCTTTTCCACTCGCTGAATCGTTCTCTAAATGGAACTGCTCAATTTTGTGCCAAACTGGGCCAGGCAGCACTAATACAGTTATTTTCCACTCATGCTGCAACAGCTCTTTGAAACATTACACAACCCATCAGTAGTTGCCTTTAATGCAATGTAAACCGCTCCATTTGTTCAATTAAACTCAATAGCTAAAACACACTTTCAAGTTAAACAAAAGCAACCAAGTGACTAAACACTGCTATGCCGCTCATATTGTGGTGCTGCATATAGGTACATGTTACAGCACTTTTTTTTTAGAGGTCGTATGTTGCACGCCTCTGGCTAAATTTAATTTGGAGAGGAAATGACAATGTTACGATTGAAAATGTTTGCAGAGGAATAAATGTTTAAGATCTCTGAATATGACATA